GTTTTAACCCCCCCTTTCCGGGGGGGTTTCCCCCCCCCCCCCCCCCCCCCCCCTCCCCCCCGAATACTTGCTGCGGGCGGGCGCCGCTACTACAACAAAGGTGGCCAACCGTCAAGGCATGCAAAACATGAGCACGCCCCCCACCCAACCCCAACCCTAACCCCTGATCTCGAGCAGGCCCTCCCGGAACCGGGAAAACCCTCTTCGCCAAGGGCCTCGCGCGGCACTCTGGTCTGGATTACGCTATCATCACCGGGGGCGACGTTGCGCCCCTCGGTCGCGAGGCTGTCTCGGAGATGCACAAGCTGTTTGACTGGGCCCAGGCTAGCAGGTGATCCGGGTGGAAGGTGCCGGGTTGGTTTTGGGGTTCGCGTCATGGTGGGTCCTGATGCCTTGTCGTCGCGGTCGTGTTGACTCTATCAAAGTACGTTCGTGTGTTGCGTTTGTTGTCGTTGTTGTTGTTGATGCTGTTGCCATTTAGCGATGCTGTTGTTTGCGGTTGCGTTTGGTTGTTGCTGCTTGTGCGGCGTCGTCGCTTTGCCTTGCCATGTGTTGGAGCGGGTCTCACTCGGCTGTGGGGAGTGGTTCTGGCTCTGTCGGCTGTGCTTTGGTGCGGCGGTTGTCCTGCTCGCTCTCCAGCCGGTTGTGTACGTTGGTGTCGGTGACTTCCTACAATCTCGACACAGGGCCAACCATGACGCCCACCAAGCACGAAGCCAGTCCACGAGTGTATTTTGTAGTTTACCCCTTCCTGGTGGATATACACAAGTTCGACTGATATGTGCAGAAACGAAAATAACAAGAGCTCTCTCCGCCATTTCCGTTTGGTGGCAACGGTTGGAGAAGAGTTATTTCCACACCCCAAAACGTGTGAGGTGTCCCTATTGGCAGACAAGAAAGAGCGTGTTCCTTCGGGTGAGACAAATGGACAATGATGTTTGTTCCGTGAAACTGGCAACGTATATGAGTATGCTCCCGTCCCCTCCACCCCTCTCTGCCTCTGCTTCACTAGGAATTTCGCTGATACTCGTTGTGTTTCTCTGCCCTCGCCGTGTGTTGACTGTTGTTATGCGCGTGTTTCTCGTTCATCTGGTGCAGGCGTGGGGTGCTGCTGTTCGTGGACGAGGCCGACGCGTTTCTAAGGAGAAGGAGCACAGAGGTAAGAACCCTGTTCCCTAGCTTGTATCGCACCTGTAGCACTATCGAGTATCTACGGAGAAGCAGCCCGAATGTACTTGTCACCGTGACGCAATCCCTACCAACCCGACCCCTAGCCCCTGTTCCGCAAAGGGCCAAGTACGCACATCTAGCCTAGCATATACGTACGTACTCTAATTTGTACGCACGTTCTTTCCGTTTGCCTCTTGAGAGACACCCCCGATCCTCTTGTCCGCTGTGGCATGGGACTTGAACTTCATGTGCTAGGCAGAATTTGAGAGATGAAAAACTGGGAGAGGCCCGCTGGGAATAACATTACCTCCGGAGAGGGGCAGTGGCACAGGTTGAGTTCTTGGTCCAGTTCAAGCGTACTCTGTTGCTGTGGTTTGCGTTGGTTTGTTGAAGCGTCTCGCACTGTCTCTTTGCCTTTTTCTCGTCCCGTTTTTCTGGCAGAGGATCAGCGAGGACATGCGCAACGCGCTCAACGCCTTCCTGTACCGCACGGGGGAGCAGACGGACCGCTTCATGGTGGTGTACGCCTCGAATCAGCCGGAACAGTTCGACGACGCTATCAACGACAGGATCGACGAGATGGTGAGCGACAAACCAGCCTGCGTGGGGAAACAGTTGCCTTTGCCAAGTTTTGTGCTGGGGAGGTGTGGTTTCGGGTGACGCTCCTCTCGTTCGTCGCGTCTCCGCTGGGGGTTGTACTGCGGTGCACTGTAGCTGAGCCACTCCCCGCATCTCTCCTCATGCTTTCGCCCGGTGTCCGTGTTGCTTTTTCGTTTTTTTCGAGGGTTTCGTGGAAGTTTCCAACGTTCCAGCTCCGCTCGCCGACTGTTTGTTACCCACGGCACTTTGACCCTTTGTATTCCACCCCCGGACGAGTAGTTTTGCCCCCTCCCCCCCCCCCCACGGTCCTGTGGAAACAATGCTCCTTCCTCTCGAGGACGCGTGGTCAACGCTCTAACAACTAAGATGTGCAAAACATTAGTACGCCCCCCCCCCTCCCACGCAAAATATGCGGCAGGGAAAACAGATGCAGGATGGAAGGAGTATGTTGAAAGTAGAAAGAGGGTGAAGGAGTTGGTCGTGAAGAAGAAGAAAGGGTTGTGGGAGGAAGTAGTCCAAAAGACTAACGAAGATTTTGAGGGGGGGATGAAGCAAATGTGGGTAGGAATTCAAGGGATAGTGGGCAACAAAAGAGGGGGAGACACGGAAATAACGACACTAAGATCTGCCGAGGGTAAGATGGTAAGCAGTTCTAAAGGAAAGAGGGACGTACTAGTAGAGCACTACCGCAAACTTGGGACACCCACCACCAACGACAACTTCGACTCGGAGTTTGAGAAGGAAATCAACTCGTGGGCAGAGGAAAACAAAGAAAGATC